TAACCCCTAAGAGAAAACCAGGACTTTTGCAGAACTATCCAGGCTCCTTAAATGCCTCTAGATACTCCAAGTGAATTTATTTTAAATTGCCTGACACTTGTATCATGTTATTTCTTGGACATCCCTTTCCTTTTCAGTTTTGATTTGAGTTTTTATTTTATTGTAATTTAGACGATTTCATCTTTTCAGCGTTTTCTTGCTTTGTGTCACTTTTGAACCAGTTGCTACCAAGTTGATGCTGACTCATGGTGACCGTGTGAGTCAGCATAAAACTGTGCTCGCAGAGTTTTCAAGGGCGAATTGTCTGGAAGCAGACGACGAGGACTTTCTTCTGAGGCACCTGTAACTGAGTGCATTGACCATCTGCACCATGCATTTTCTACCCACCTCAAACTTTTTCAACAACCCAATGACATACTGCTTTACTGATTCCCATTTTTTCCTCCAGTCTGCCTCCTCCTACAAGCAGGATGGGCTCTTTCCTGGTCTACACACAGCTCTCATCCTGGGGTTTCTCTCTGCTCATCTCAGCTGGAACCACTGTTCTTTGGAGTTTGGACATCCTTGACTCCCACCCTTTTCCTCGAATCAGCAATAAATCACTTGGGGGTAGGGGAGGGAGGGGGAAACAGGAGAATACTAAGGGTTCAAATATAAAATATTTTGAGAATGATGATGGCAACAAATGTACAAATGTACTTGACACAATAGATGTATGGATTGTGATAAGAGTTGTATGAGCCCCCAATAAAATGATTTTAAAAAGAAAAATAAACAAATAGAGAAGAGAGTGGAAAATAAAATGAGAAAAAAATCATTTCAGAACTCATTTTAATATACAGAACTTAATGGATAATTCATGTTAATTATCTTATAAGAATTAGTAGGTCACTGAAGATTCCCTTGCAGAGTGGTCTCGGGGAGAAGATGAGCCAGTCAGGGTGCGATGTAACAATGATGAAAAATACAACTTTCTTCTAGTTCCTAAATGTTTCCTCCCCACTCCCACTACCATGACTCGAATTCGACCTTGCAAGTCTGGCTAGACCAGAGGATGGTACACTGGTACAGATGGGAACTGAAAGTACAGGGAATCCAGGGCGGATGAGCCCTGCAGGACCAGTGGTGTGAGTGGCGAAACGGGGAGGATAGAGGGAGAGTGGGTAGGAAAGAGGGAACCGATTACAAGGAACTATATGTGACCTCCTCCCTGGGGGACGGACAGCCGAAAAGGGGGGGGGGGGGACTTCGGACAGGGCAAGAAATGACAAAATAACAATTTATAAACTATCAAGGGCTCATGAGGGGGAGGGAGGGGAAAAATGAGGACCTAATTGGGGGGGAGGGGGTTAGGTGGAGAGAAAATGTTTTGAGAATGATGTACAAATGCGCTTTACACAATTGATGTGTGTATGGATTGAAATAAGAGTTGTATGAGCCCCTAATAAAATGATTTTTTTAAAAAGAATATTTTCTGTTAGGAGTTTTTACCTGTACAGGTGGAGAGACATTGCACCATTTTATAACAAGACTAGAACATTCTAATAAAGCAGTTTGAATTCTGAAAAAAAAAATCACTTCTCTGAGCTCCCCTATTCCTCACTGTTTACCTATATAGAATAGAATTTTATGTTGCTGTTTCTTATCTTCCAGGGCACAGACTATGGTTTGGTTGATTATATTAATATTAACTTTTATTAATATTTTTGGGAAATTTATTTCACAAAGGGCTTAGGAAATACTACCAAAAGAGCTTTTATTTTAAGATTGCTTCTAATATTTATTTTAGAAAAATTACTGCTTCTTTAAGTCTTGGAGGAAGTATGCGCCTTAGACGTGAGGATGGCAAGACTTCATCTCACGCGCTTTGGACAGGTGATCAGTAAGGACCAACCGTGGAGAAGGACAACAGAAGGTCAGAGAAAGAGAAGAAGATATTCCAGGAGCTGGACTGACACATTGGCTGCGAGGCTGCATAGGACTGGGCAGTGTTTCATTGTGTTGTGCAGGGTGGTTCCGGGTTGGCACTGACTTGAGAGTTCCTACCAAGAGTTATTAGAGGACATCGCGGACGTTTCTTCCATTTGCTCGACTGTCCTACGCGGTTCAGACTACCTCCCACTTCATCCTCACAAGGCATTTCTGATATTTGGCATTTCTCTACTTTACAGATGAGGAAACTGCGAAGCATAAGCTAAAGACCTCATTCAAGGTCATACCACCAATAAATGGGAGAACCACGATTGCATCCAGGTCCTCTGATTGCAGAGGCCCCAGGCCTAAGCAGAGAAAGAAAGAAATAAGATAAAATAACATTTGACCTGCATTTTCTTCACCTCCACAAGATGAATCTAGGTCTCAAAAAAAGTAAGACTAATAATCCCAAACCCACTACCACAGAGGTGATTCCAGCCTATGGTGACCTTACAGGACAGCGTTGAACTGCCCCAGAGGGTTTCCAAGCCCTGAATCTTTATGGGGGCAGATATTTGACCTTTCCCCTCTGCCTTTCAACTCACAGCTGAGTTCCTAAATGTGAACACCTCCACAAAGGATTTCTGTACCATTTTTCCTGAGTCTCTAGCTCAAACTCTAAACCAGCGGGTCTCAACCTGTGGGTTGAGACCTGGAAAGGGGTGGAATAAGCCTTTCACAGGGGTCTCCCCATTCATAACAGTAGCAAAATGAGAGTGATGAAGTAGCAATGAAAATAATGTTATGGTTGGGGGGTCACTACAACATGAAGAACTATATTAAAGGGTCACTGGCATTAGGAAGGTTCAGAACCACTGGTCTAAACCAATACATGTTTCATCGAGCAACATCATGGAGGCTGCTTAAAATGAAGCAAAAGAGGTTTATTTCGGCAGAGAGCCAGTCCAGAGAAGAAAGACCTCTATAGAAACAGAGGGCCCATGACCTTTGGGCAGTGAGGAGGAAAAGGGTTGGTGTGGCTGGAACAGAATTGAATGTCACAAAATCCTGATTGGCTGAAAGACAATCCGGGGAGTCAAAGGCGACATATCTAACTCTAACAGCAGGCACAGCAGACATGATGACGTATAATAGTATAACAGGGATAAGTGGATGCATACAAGCGGGCTTCAAAAATTTGGAGAACATAGGATTTCAAATAATGGATTCTGCCCCCCACCCCATACTTTTTTGAAAGCCCCGTCATCTCTGTGGAATTGCATAATTGAGTCAAGGCACATAATTTTAAAAAAAATCATTTTATTGGGGGCTCGTACCTCTTATCATAAGCCATCCATCCATCCATTGTGTCAAGCACATTTGTACATTTGTTGCCATCATTTGTTTTCTACTTGAGCTCTTGGTATCAACTCCTCATTTTTACCCTTCCTTCCCCATGAGCCCTTGATAATTTAAAAATTATTATTATTTCGTCATACCTTACACTGTGCGACGTCTTCCTTCACCCCACTTTTCTGTTGTCCCTCCCCAAGAGAAGAGGTTATATGTAGATCCTTGTAATGGGTTCCCCCTTTCTACCCCATCTTCAAGGCACATAATTTGATCCTCTGCGTACAGATTGTGATTTCCCGCACCTGGCCGACCTCAGGGGTCTGGCTAGGTCAGCATCAAAATGAGAGAAATGGTTGTCAAGGGGGCGGGGGCGGTGAGGTGGGGGGAGAAATTCCTACTGTCAGTTCTGACTCAGGGCAACTCTAGATCAGACAAGGAACGTTTCTACTCCTGTAAAGGGTTACAGTCTCGCAAACCCACGGGGGCAGTTCTACCCTGTCCTACAGGGTCGCAATGAGTAGGCATCATTGATGGCAGGGAGTCCGGTTTGGTTTGGGGTTTACAGCGTTTTTAAGCCTGTCGATCTTGATGGGAGCAGGCTATTTCATACGTCTTCCGTGGAGCCGCTGGGAGGTTTGAACCAGAGACCTTTCCTTACTTAGCAAGCAGCCCAACGCTTAACCCACTGTGCCACCAGGCGCGCCTCGCTGTTAGAAAAGGAGGCTTTTAAAATTCAACAAGAACTCTTGACTCACATCAAGTCCAAAAATGGAGTTTGGGCTGCCCTTTCAGACCGCTCTTTGGACACAAAAGTGCCTCTCCTTTGAAAGGCTCTGACAGTTTTTAAAAGTTCATGAGAAAGTGGATTCATGGGGAAGCCTTTGGAAACGTAGGGGGACTTCAGTTGAACTGGTTTACACTGAACCCGGAGGTGGACGCTTCTTTTCTTTTTTGCTCTCAATCTTTTTTTAAATCGTCTTATTAGGGGTTCATACGACTGTTATCACAGTCCACACATACATCAATTGTGTAAAGCACATTTGTACATTCATTGCCCTCATTATTCTCAAAACATTTGCTCTCCACCTAAGCCCCTGGCATCAGTTCCTCATTGTTTCCCTTCCCTCCCGCTCCCCGCTCCCTTGATAATTTATAAATTATTATTTTGTCATATCTTGCCCTGGGGTGGACGCTTCTTGGCATCTTTTCCTGTCCTAACCCTGTAGACAGCCTCTTCCTGCTGGTCCTTCTCCGTGGATTCCACAAGAGAAATGAGCCCCCGACTCGGAGCCTGCTGGGTGCGGGGGTCGACCCCCAGCGAGCATAGTCCACCCAGTACCTGCATTGGCGGGCAACGTCCACATAGCCCGAAATGCGCGCGGTGCGTGGCCTTTTCCCACTGCGAATGTGAGCGGCGTTACCTGGCAACACAGAGACCCAGCAAGGCGCCAAAGGGCACTTGGGCTGAGTTCGGAGGGGCGCAGATCTTTTGGTGTGAGAGCAGGTCCCGGGCTGCAAAAGGCACAAGGCCAGATGCAGGCATTATCCGCGCCCCCCGCGCCCCCCGCCCCCGGGGCGCAGGTTCGATCCCGCGGCCACCCACGCGGCTAGGGCGCCGGGCCGGGCGGAGAACCTTCGCGCGTGCGGACTGCGCTGCCAGTGGGCGGCGGGCGGCCGCAGGCTCCTCCCCGGCCCCTCCTCCCGCAGCGCCCGGGGACAAGGTCGGGCTGATAAGACCGATGGGGGCCGGCGGAGCGGAAACCCATCCTGCAGCGCAGCCGCCCGCTGCAATCCCAGCTGCCTGACACCTGCGGCGACGGCGACTGAGTGGGGCCAGCGAGAAGCAGTGGGCTTTGGTGCGCTGGGGTGGCGTTGGTGCACAGCCGAAGGTGCCCCAGAGACCCGGCATCCCGCAAGCAGCGCACGGCAGTGCTCGGGTAAGGAGGGACCCTGGGCGAGCCAGCAGACCCTGGGAAGGGGCTGGTGGGCTCCCGGAGAATTGCCACCACACTGGAGCGAAGACGCGGTGGGGAGGGTATCAGGCTGATCCTGGGCTTTGCAGACCCTGCGGCCCTGGGGAATAGTTCAAAAATCTTTGAGGGAGGAGGGAACTGGGACCCAGTTTTCCCAAGTCCTTTAAAAAAA